TTTTGAGCATACTGAGATTGACTGCTATTTCTCTGGGTCATGTAGGGGTAGTTGGCTTTGTCTAGTGATGTGAAAGAGTTCTTAGTAAAGCACTACACTCTCTGTAGCTTACTGTGCAATGGCAGCATGAAGCACAGGCCCTCCACCAGGCTAGTATGTGTTGTCCATCGGCTAACTCATCAATCATAGAAAGAACATTTTTTTCTGAATTTCCCTACTGTGTATTCATCTAAAATACCATCTGAATTTCCAACTCCTGAGTATTCAAACCTGGAAACCAATGTGGCACCCCTTTGGACTTCCATGTAAGTAAGGTGAAGCCTTGCTGGGGACAGAAAGAGCTGCCAACCCCTGCTCCAACAAAGTACCCAAGCCACCAATGCAGTTCAATTGTAAAACACGTTTGTTCTTTTAGTGAGCTCCCTCATGCCCGGTTACAACTCACCCCTCTCCCATTCCTAGTGCCAACCTACTGCTAATCTTTCTTTCTGTATACATCTGTTTCGATCAGACATTTCATATAAACAGAAACATAGAATGTAAGACCCTTTGCATCTATTTTCACTGTTTATTTTCATATCTTTGAGATTAATCATGATATAGTGTATGTTAACAGCTTATTCCTTATTTTATGGCTGAAAAATATTCCCGTGATTCATTGCAGTGGCCACACAGAATTCACCAACAATATTCACGGAGTTTATAGGCATCCAATAGGTTGCAAAATGTTAAGAATTCATCCTGGGAGAATGTCTCTGTGGTCCTCAGCCTCTTAGCTACATGGTCCATTGGCCTTTTGAACCAGAAAGCCTGGCCACCACTCTGTCTCATGTCTCAATGTTGCTCTTTGGCTCTGTCTCATCACTATTTAGTTAACTATAGATGTCTCAGATTTATCTCATCCCCCTCAGCTACTTTTCTACCTGTATATATGTCTATTTATGATACCACTTTTCATTCATTCCCTGCTTTATGCTGGAAACATCCTAGACATTCTTCTACCTTTGTCTACCTCACCATCCACATTTCCAAGTCTGAGTAATTACTTATTTTAATAATTTATTAATTTTGGCCACTGTGTTGATTTTACTGTGACTGTCCTAGGTTTCAGCTGAACTGTTTTCTTATTCCAACTTCATGCATTTTGAGGCCACTGCTTATACATTAGAAAGCTAGTGTCAGTTTTCCAAAACACTGATGGTTCTCGTACTCCCTTACTAAAAATCCTTTTAGCTCTCTATTATAATTGGATAAATTCCAAACTGTGTTGTAACATACTGTTTTAACCATTTCACACTAATCATTTTTACCCCCAAAACATATTAAACTCAAAAAAAAATTATTGAAAGAAAAAAAAAACCATATTAAACTCTTTCATAACTCCCAAGCCTTTTTAATATTCCCCAATTATGTGTTTAATTTTGTTCATTATATGGCTATAATGCCATCATCTGAAAAGTCCTCACTGAACCACCATAGATTAGATGAGGTGGATTTGGATTATATTTTGTAGGAACAGGAGGAAGAACATTTTGAATAAAGTGATGATTTCAACTTAAATCAGGGTTTATCAGAGGAGGAGATAGAATCTAAAACTCAGCTGTATTATCCAAAAATAACTTATAAAATGAATAACAACGTGGGAAGAATCACTCTGCTCAATTTTAACACTTTCTCCAGGGGTCACCAGGATCCATGGTGGTGGAGTGTTTATGTGTTGGGTTACAATTGCAAGGTTGGCAGTTCGGAACCACTAGCTTCACCATGGGAAAAGATGGGGTTTCCTATTCCTGTAAACAGTTACAGTCTCAGAAACTCACCGGGGCAGTTCTACCCTCCCCTGTAAGGACACTGAGTGAGGCAAGGTGAGTCTGGTTTGAGTTTTTATATTAAAGTAGTGATAGTAGTCACAGCAGTGTGATGTTAGCACAGAGATAAGCACATAGCGCAATGGAGCAGAATAGAGCCCTAGGAAATATACTTACACAAATATGCATATTGGTTTCCAGCAGAGACGCAAAAGTAGTTCAAGGAGAAATAATAGTTTTTTAAGCATCAATAACAAAAAGAATCTTAACTGAACTTCAGACCTTATGTAAAAATTCATAATAGATCATATAGTACCATATATAAAATATAAGTGTATAAAGTGTTTTTAAAATGAGAAAATCTTCAGAACTCAAGGCAAGTAAAGAGTTCTCAGACATAAACCAAAAGTACAACCCATAAAAGAAAAACAAAATAAATTTCACTTACTAAGCTCAAAACTTGCTCTATAAAAGAAGCAAATAATTTGCAAGCCATGTAATACAAAGGGCTTGTGTCTAGGATATATAAAGAATTCTTAAAACCTTGTATAAAACAACAGGAAAACACCAATCCAATTAGAAAATGGTCAAGAGACTTGAACATACATTTCAGCACGAAGGATGTACAGGTGTCAACATCATTAGCCATTAGAGATATTAAGATGAAAACCACAGTAAGTGCTTATTACATACCCATCAAAATTACTGAAATGAAAAATAATTACTAGGACATTTGAGTTATGTTAGCAAGGATTTGGAGAAATTCATTCCCCTCTGTGTTAGGCCGAGTTGACTAGAGAAACAAATCCAGTGACACTCATGTGTAAGAAAGAGCTTAATATCAAAAAGTAACTATCTATCAAGAAAAGCATCCCAGCCCAGTCCAACTCAAGTCCATAAATCTGATACTGGTCCATAAGTCCCTTTTCAGACTCACGCAGCCACATGCAATGATGCAGAATGCAGGAATATCACAGGCTGGTGGGTGCAAAGTATTGTGGATCCAATAGTGGTGGAAGCATCACAAAAAGTGGCTCAATAGCAGGAAGGTGTAGGCAGAGAGAGAGAGAACGAGAGGTTCCCAGAGCCCTCCTTAAGAGAAGGCCATGCCCACAAGGAGGCACCATCAGGTTGTGATCTGATTGACAGGTTAAATACTACCTCTACACTTTTATATATCTTCAAGTTGACATGAAAGTATGTAGCTACCACATCCCTATACACTGTAGATAGAAATGTAAGTTTCTAAAAAATAATTTGGGTGTAAAAATCATTTGGAAAAATTGCTTGGCAATTTCCTATAAAACTAAGTGTAATATATGGCCAAGTAATAATACTCTTGGGTGTTTATCCCAGAGGATTGGAAATTATGTTCACATATAAACCTGTAGTGATTGTTCATTGCAACTTTATTATTGATAGCCCCAAACTGGGAATACCTCAGTGCCCTTTAGTAAGCACATGATGGTTAGAGGAACTGTGGTTCTCCATTTCATGGAGTACTACTCAGCAATAAAAAGGATCAAACAACGTCTTGAGTGGACTTCAAAGACATTATGCTGAATAAACTGAACGCGTCTCTGAAGGTTACATACTATTTGTTTTCATTCCTATGACGTTCTTGAGTGAACAGTGATCGAGCTAGAGAACAAGATTGATGTTACACAGGCTGAGGCTGGGTGGAGAAGGTGAGGGTAGGTGCTCCCACAAGGTGAGAATAAAGGAGTTCTGTGTCCTGATTGTGGTGGTGGCTCTGCAGATTTATACAGGGGATAAGTTGCCTAGAACATAAGCCTATACAAATGGGCATATGAGAAGGCTGGTGACATTTGAAAAAGCCTGTGGTTGGTATAAAAGATTATATCAATGTCAGCTTCTTGATTTTATACAATAGTCATGGAAGATGTTATCAGAAGAAGCTAAATGGAGGGTACATGACACGACATTTTTTTGCAAAATAAAACATTTATGAAAGTAATCTTAATTTCAGAAAATAGCTAGGCAAGTAAGAAGAAATTCATACATGTTAAAAATTATTCAAGACTATAAGAAATAAGATATAAGTTACTTGACCCAGAATAAAAAATCATATCAATGTGAATGAGGGGGAGTGCACAGTGGAGACCCAAAGCCCATTTGTATATAATTGGACATCCCCCCTTACAGAAGGGTCACAAGGAATTGGACATCCCTTACAGAAGGGTTTTAGGGAGGAGGCAAGCCAGTCAGGGTGCAGTATAGCACTGATGAAACATACAACTTTCCTCTAGTTCTTAAATGCTTCCTCCCCCACCCCCACTGTCGTGACCCCAATTCTACCTTACAAATCTGGCTAGACCAGAGCAGGTACACTGGTGCAGATAATAGCTGGAAACTCAGGGAATCCAGGACAGATAAATCCCTCAGGACCAGTAATGAGAGGACCAATACCAGGAGGGGAAAGGGAAGATTGGGGGAGATGGGGGAACTAATAACAATGATTTATATATAACCCCCTCCCAGGGGGATGGACCAAAGAAAAATGGGTGAAAGGAGACAGCAGTCGGTGTAAGACATGGGAAAAATTAATAATTTATAAATCACCAAGGGTTCATGAGGATGGGAGGGTCGGGGAGGGGGGAATGAGCTGATACCAAGGGCTCAAGTAGAAAGAAAATGTTTTGAAAATGATGGCAACATATGTACAAATGTGCTTGACACAATGGATGTATGGATGGATGTGATAAGAGCTATACAAGCCCCCAATAAAATGATTTTTTTTAAATAACAATACCTAAATTGAAAAAAAGGAAAAGTTATTCTGTATGTATATATGAAGACCATTCTGATACCAGAAAAAAGTGACTGGCTCAAGGAAGGTTAGTACCATTATAAAGGGATTGATTGAACCCTGCCTCCCCCTTTCACATCAAACTGTATATGAAGAGGCTTCAACGAGTTTGTGGAAAAGCAGAACTAAAAAGTAATGGGGTTTTTCCACAAATGTTTTGATATTTTTCATATGTTTTTTTAATACTTTTATTTTGTTTTTGTTGTAACTATTTTACCCCAAAGGATTATATTTTGTATCTTGGTAAGCAGGTGTGTTTGTTATTTTCATCAGCTAGTACTATAGTAGTATAGATCGATTATCTTAAACTATGTGTTCATTCATATTAAGGTCATTAATTTCTCTCTTTTTCTATTTTCTAGTTGATGACAGTGCAATTTTGGATTGCCAGTTTAGTGAATTTTATCACACTCCTCCACCTGGTTTTGAAAAAATTTTATTTGAACAACAAATCTTTTGAATGTATTTGGTTTTTTTTTAAACCTGTATTTCTGTACTGTTAAAATTGTTTATCATTTAATAAAGCTTTCCCTGAGCTATAGATGAAAGTATATTCTTAAAAATTTGATTGTTACTGTTGTCTGAGAAGCATTGTATTCAGTATACCACTAGAGAGTTGTGATTTGAAGTACTTATATTTTATGTTAGGAAAATCAGCACTTGGGGCAGTTTATTTATTTAAATACATTTAATAATGGTTTTAATACAGTATTAAATAGAAATATATATGTAAAGATTTAAAAGGGAATCATTCTTACAGAAAATATTTGTTTGATAGAGATATAGAGTTGAGTGGCTTTTTCTTTTTGTTTTGTTATTCTGAAGCTTAGACCTCAGAACTTTGTTAAATCGTAGTCCAATAATCTAGTGGCTCTGTGTACTGTCCTTGGGTTACAAATGTCTTGACTTATGTAAACCATAATTACAAACCAACCTCCCTAAAGCTTCTATTAAGTATTTGAGGTATCTATAGTGGTTCAAAATAATAAACACACACTACTTTGTGACATGAATCATATTACCATTTTAGTAAGTTAAAGATGTTTGTGTTTATCTGGGAGTATTTCTTTAATATGTTTTGTGCATAAAAAGGTACAGAATCTGCCTTGCACTTAGACAAACCTTTGACTACTGATGTTAAATATGAACCATATATAACTGTACTTAGTTATGTACAAATTCAGCTTAAAGACAAAACTTAGAATGGGACTCACCACGATCCAGGCACTGACTGTGCCACTATAGTGACAGAAATTTACGTTATTAGCGACTTAATTGTCTTGCAATCTATTTACTGTAAAATTTACCTTCTAAAAATCAAATTTGCCTATTTTGTTTATATAATATTTTAATTTCAAATAATTTCATATGCTCTGTAAAAGTAAATTATGTGCTTTAGTAATTGTCCAAGCATTTTGTTGAAGACCATTATGCTGTGTTACTTCGATACCAGAGTAAGTATCAACTGGTTAGCAGTGTACACTGGCAGACAGAACAGTAGAATGGGGCTGTAAATGTAAATTTAAAAGAGATTATTCTTTTTATGGACTATTTTATGTATGTGTGTTTTCTGTAATGAAAAAATAAAAGCATAATTAAGAAATAATGCCATATTAAATACACATTCATCTTTTTGTTGTGAATTATACAGCAAATCCATTTCACTCTTGATTATGTCAAAAATTCAGAGAAAAGCATATCCTCTCCATGATCTTAAGCCTTTGCCCAATTTTGTGTAAGAATCACTCTTTTCATTAGCACTCTGTTAGCCTGCAGTAAGCACTGTCCACCTCTTTAGAAACAGGTTGTCTTTTCAAATGTGCGTGCCAATGAGGCTTACAGCTCTTAGAGAGATACCAAGACTGTGGTTTTTCTACCTAATCCCATTCTATCCTCAGCCCCTGTGAGACCCAGATTCTTTATTTTAAAAGGGATCGCCATACTTACAAGATAGGATTCTATAACTAGCTCAGTAATGTAGTATGTGAAACATCTACTCATCGATCCGTAATAAATGTAACTTTCTTACGGACTATAAAGCAATGGTTTTCATGTTGGTCTTCATCCCAGCAGCTTCAGCATCATGATCACTTGTTAGAAATGGAAATTCTCAGGCCCTACCGCATACCTACTGAATCAGACACTGCTGGGGTTAGGACCCAACAGCCCCACGTATGTCGTGGGTATGAGTTGGGTTGCGGTCTGTGTGGTCGGCAGATGGAAACCACCAGCAGCTCCACAGGAGGAAGATGGAACTTTCTACTCCCAGAAACAGTTACCGTCTCGGAACTGGGGTCACTATGAGTCAGCATTGACTCCACGGCGGTGAGTTTAGTTTGGGTTTGGTATTTAGAGCAGGTGATTTTGATACCCACTGAAATTTAAGAACCATTACTATGAAAGGAAAGAATGTGTACCCAATTATTGCATAGGATTTAAGAGGTTATTTTTGACAAAGGGTAGAGAAGCCAGCACAATATTTATTGTTTACTTGATATGTAAAAAAGTGACAATGTCACACTGCTGTGAAAACAGATATATATGTAAATCTAAAATTTTACTCTGAAATTATATAGAATTGAGCTCGCTATATGGTCACTATGAGTCAGCTTTGAGTCAATGGCAGTGAGTTTGGTTTTGATTTATGTATTACAATAAAGTTTGTGAAAATTAACATCTAGAACCTGTAAGGCAGAAACCTGTCAGCGAAGGAAAACTCATATTTTCCATTCAGAGAGAGTATTAGAACATTGGTAAGACTGCACCCTGTCAAAGGTGAAAAATCAGTACAGTATAGATGCAGAGCTTAAATATTTAATAATAGTTAACTAGATAAGTCGAAGGTCTCTAATCTTGAATTTTATCACACAAAGACCTGCCTTTATTCCTGGCCAAACAGACTGTGTCCACAATCTTAACTGTGTATATTATTTACACTTTGCATACTCAGATGGAAAATCAATGATTTATTTACTGTGCTCTTATTTCAATGATTTAAACGTTGTTAAATATGAGAAACAAAAATTTTTTGAACAGTTATATATTTAGAAGCAGAAAAAGAATTCTACTTTAACGCCTTGGTCTCTTTTGTTAAGAGTATATGTTTTCACCTTGGATTATAAATAATAATATAGTTAATTTAAGAGTTCTGTCAAATAATATTATTTGGCATTCAATATGGGGGAACCCCCACTCTCAGGACTATGCAAAGGCATTCAACTGTAAATCAAAACAAACTGAGAAGAATAGGAATTCCAGAACATTTCCTTGTGCTCGTTCAGAATCTGCACATGGACCAAGAAACAAGCATTTGAACAGTATGAGGGAATATAACATGATTCAAATCAGGAAACGTGTGCATCAGTGTTGTATGCTTGTATCATACTTACTCCATGTGTGTACTGAGTAAATAATCCAAGAAGCCGGGCTTTATGAGAAAGAACACAGTATCAGCAGAGGAGGAGGCTGTAATATGTAGGTGGCACAGTTTTGCTTGCTGAAAGTGAGGACTTAAAGTACTTGTAGATGAAGATCAAGGATTGCTGACTTCCTGGATTATAACTCATGTAAAGAAGACCAATTCCTCACAACTGGACCAATGGGTGACATCATGATGAACAGAGAAAAGATTGGTGTTGTCAAGGATTTTGTATTGCTTGGATCTACAAATCAACGCTCATGGAAACAGCAGTCAAGAAGTCAAAATCACACATTGCATTTTGCAAATCTGCACAAGACCTCTTTAGACTTAGTCATTGCATTGGCAGTATTCCTGCCCTGGCCTTGGCCCTGACCCTAACCCTAGTGTGTTAATCCGGCTTGACTAAAAAACCAAATTCATAGACACGCATATATGTGTGAGAGAACTTAATATCAAAGAGCAATTGTACATTAAGAAAACATTCCAGTCCTGTCCAGATCAAGTCCATAAGTCCAATATTAAACCATATGTCCAATACCAGTCAATAAATTCCTCTTCAGATTTATGCAACACACAAATTCAGGAAACTCACAGGCCAGTGGGTAGAAAGTCTTGTGGATCCACTGACAGTGGAAGCATTTCAGCACTGTCAAGGGTCTCCACGTGGCTCCTCTAGCTCCGTCAGCGAGCTCCATGTGGCTTGTCAGCAGGAAGGTGAAGCAGAAAGAGTGTGCTCTAGTGCTCTATTTATCTCCATAGCACTTCCAAATGAGGTCATCAAGCTGCGACTTGATTGACAGGCTAGACTTCACCCCTTCGCAAGTTGACAGATTATGCAAATGCCACACCTAGCCTTGACCCTGATCCTGACCCTATTCCTATCCCCGGCCCTCGTGATAACCTTAGCCCTAGCCCTAGTCCTAGCTCTAGCTCTGTAGATAGTGGTGTTGTTGTCGGATCTCTCCTGATAACATGTTCAAAGTCCTCTCCATCCTTGTAAGGAGTGTTCAAGTTATGCTTCTAAGAAGCATTCCGACCTTCAGATTTTTTGTTCCCTTGTTAGTCCATGGTGCTTTCAATATTCTTCAACAGCACTATAATTCAAATGCATCAATTAATCTGCACTCTTCCTTAATCAGTGTCCAACTAATACATTCATATGAGGAGATTGAAAATACCATGGTGTGGGACAGGTGCAATTTAGTCTCTAACCCTAACCCTTTCCCTAGCCATGGCCCTGGGCCTGGGCCTAGACCTAGATGTTCTAGCCCTAGCTCAAGTCCATGCCCAAACCCTGGCCCTGGCCCTAACCCTATTCCCCACTCTTGCCCTCGTCCTAGCATCTAGCTCTAGCCTTAGCCCTAGCTCTAGTTCTAAATCTATACACAGTGGTGCTGTTGGTTGATCTCTCTATATAACATGTCCAAAGTAAGTGAAGAAATCTCACCAAGGAACTTTTTAGCTGTACTTTTTTTTTTCTTTCTCCTTTTTTAACATTTTATTAGGGGCTCATACAACTGTTATCCCAATCCATACACACATCAATTGTGTAAAGCACATTTGTACATCGTTTCT